CACACTGGTTTTAGTGGCCTGCATGGCATGCAATACAGGGGATCAAACTCAGGTCCTTGTGCTTGCCAGGCAGGTGCTTAGACTGCCAAGCTATCTCCCCTGCCCTAATTTTTTTAAATGTTATTTACTTTGCAAATCAAATGTAGGAGTCAAAATGTATAGCCAACATTGTTATCAATATAATTACTTGGAAAATATAAGCTCAAAATACAATGACACAATTATACGCAAACAGTCAATAAGCTACTACAGTATTACAGACAGAATCTTGCACACAGAACACTGCTTCAATATCTCCATACCTCTAAAACATGGTCAAGATTCAACAAATGCATTTAAAATAATAAAAGCATGACAAAGGTATCTGATCAATGATGTATAGTGTTCCCAAGGAGAGTCACATGGAGAGAAAACTTTCTCTCAGGCTTTCACAGAGAGCAAATTGGTCAAGTAATGGCTGTGACTCATCCACATGGCTGACACTGACAAAGGATCTACAAAGTGCAGTACAGGGTTACAGGATAAATCCTGAGGGGATTTGATTGAACTTATATACCAGGGGCCAGGGAGATGCCTCAGTAGAATAAGCACTTCCCAGGCAACAGTAAGGGCCTGAGTTTAATCCCTGGTTCTGCCAAAAAATAAATAACAGATAGATCAACCAAACCAAAAAAATCAAAAATAATCAGAGTTGAACAAAACCTCTGAACTAATGGACTTAATAGATCTATACACAGTATTCTGAGCAACGACAAAGAGTACACATTCTTCTCAGCACTACATAGGACTGTCTACAAATTAGACCACATACTAGCTCAAAAAATGTGCTAAAGAAAATGCAAAAGAACTGAAAATTTACCATGCATATTATCAAATCATATATAATGAAACTAGATTAGCAAAAGAAGCCAAAGGAATTATGGAGATTGAACAGCATACTCCTGAATAAGCAATGGGTCATAGAAGAAATTAGAAAGAAATAAGACAGTGTCCAGAATTAAATGGTAATGCCAGGACAACATACCAGAACTTATGAGACACACTGAAAGCAATCCTAAAACAAGTTTATAGATGCAAATGCCCATATCAGAAAAATGGTGTGAGCCCAAATAACCTATCGATACACTTCAAAGTCGTAGAAAAAGAACAACAATCCAAATTCAGAGCTAGTAAAAGGGAGGAAGTTATAAAGATCAGAGGAGAATTCAATGAAATGGAGAGTAAACAAACAATAAAAAATCAATAAATTGAAGGAACAAAATAGTCAAACTCTATCTTACAAAAAATAAAAGACACAAATCAATTTAATTAGAAAATAAAAAGGTGAGATCATAATAGAAACCACCAAAATCCAGATTAACAACTACTTCACAAACTTATATTTTAAAAAAAATTATATACCAAAAAATTGAAGAATTCAGAAACAGATACCTAGATTTGTTATGGCTTACATCTAGATTCCCCCAAACTCTTGTGTGCTCATATGTAAAGCTTTTCAGAAGTGGCTGAATCTATGGTATATGAATATGAATGAAGAGTGGTGTGTGATAACTAAATTAGTTTACTGATTGGTTTAGCATAGTTCTGGATATGGATAATGTGAAATGCCACTCTGGGTACTGATGGCACCAACCAGTAGGCTTGTAGCATGGATGAGATAAAAGGAAAAGAAAGGCTTGCTACTACTGCTTGGTTTTTTTTCTGCCTGCCTTTCCATAGACTGTTTTTTCTCTGTGATATTCCTCTGCCATGCTGCCCTATCCTGGAGCCAACTGACCATGGCCTGTGAGCTAAAATAAACCTTACCTTCTTTAACTTGTGGATGTCAGCAACAAGAAAGTAACAAAGACACTGAACCAAGACTTAAAAACCTTGAATAATCCAATAACATAAATGAAATTCAAGAAGAAATTTAAAAAAAAAAAAAGATCCTGCCAACTAAGACAAGCCCAGGACCAAAAGAATTCATTGTCAAATTCTACAACAACTTCAGGGACGATTCAATGCCAATACTCCTCAAACTCTGTAATGAAACTAAAAGGGAAGGAGTACTCCAAAAGTCATTCTTGGAAGCTAGAAATAACCTGACTACAAGACCAGAAAAATGTTCAACCAAAAAGAAGAACTATAGACCAAATTCTCTAATGAACACAGACACAAAAATTCTCAAGATACTCGCAAACAAAATGCAACATTATCAGGAAGATCATACATCATGACCTAGAAAACTACATCCCAGGGATACAAGGAAGATGTACTATACTCTAATCAATAAATTCAATAAGTATAATCCTTCACATAATCAGGAACAAGGACAGATGCAGAAAAATCCTTCACAAATCCAACATTCTTAAAAAAAAAAAAAAAAAAAAAAACGCTAAAGAAAATAGGGACAAAAGGACCTTATCTCAATATGATAAATGCCATTCATGACCCAAGTACTTCTAACATTATATTAAATCTGAAAAAACTGCAAGCTTTCCCTGTAAAATCAAGACTAAGACAAGGATGTTTGCTATCACCATTCCTGTTCAATATCCCCCTTGAAACACCAGCTACAGCTATCAGGCAAGAGAAAAAAATGAAATGGATAAGTACAGGAAAGGAAGAATTTGCATTATCAATATTTTCAGAGAAGATGACCCTTTACTTATAAGATCTCAAAAGGTCTACCAAAAGATTCCTAGAGTAACCAAATTCAGCAATGTAGCAAATTAATAAATCAACAGACAAAAATTAATAGCATTTTTTACACTAATTACAATCTCATTAGGCAATGGGAAATTAGGAAAACAGTACCATTCATAGTAGCATCCAGACAGATTAAATACTTAGGAATTAATCTAACCAAGGATGTAAAAGGCCTCTACAATGAAAATTACATCATTCTGAAAAAGGAAATCAGTACTTCCGATTTGATTTGAAACTGTCTCATTGCTATCTGTTTATCAATAAAACTTTGAAAAAAAGTAAAATAAAATCAGCAATGCTGAAAAAAAAAAGGAAATCAAAGAAGACACCAGAAAATGGAAACTTATCCCATGTTCCTAGAAAAGCAGAACTAATATAGTCAAAATGAGCTCTACATCTAAAATTGACATACAGATGTAATGCAATCCCAACCAAAATACCAACAGCATTCTTTATAATTGTAAAAAATCCTAAAATTCAGAACAGCAAAAGCAATCCTGGGTAACAAATGCAAAAAGAAACATCATAATCCCTGATTTGAAATTGCATTACAAAGCTACATGGACAAAAACAGCATAATACTGACGTAAAACCAGATATGTGTATCAGCAGAAGAGAAGAGAGGAAGCAGCAACAACCCCACATACATTCAGCTATGTAACCTTGAACAAAGGGGCCAAAAACAAATACAGGAGAAAAAGTAACCTCTTGAATAAGCAGTGCTTGAGAATTGGATATCCACATGCAGAAGAATGAGTCTACAAAACAAACTAAAACGAAACTGGATCAAAGATCTGAATATTAAAATAGAGCCAGCAGCGGTAACACATGCTTATAATCCAAGCATTTCTGAGGCTTAGGCAGGAGGATCTCTGTGAGTACAAGGTCAGCCTGAGCTATAAAGCAAGCCCCTGTGTAAATCAATCAATCAATCAATAAATGTTAAAACAGAAAAAAATCCGCTGGAACATAAAATAGGTAAAATTCTGGAAGACACAGGAATAGGCAAGAACTTTCTAAATAGAATGCCAATGGTATAAGAAATAGTAGTGAGAGTCAACGAATGAGATCATATCAAATTTAAAGACTTTTGCAGGGCAGGACAAACAGCTCAGCAGATTAAAGCACCTGCAAGTAGGTACAGGGGCCAGGGGCCTGCCATGCCAGCCCCACCCCCGGGACTTGCTGAGAGGGCAATTGAGACTGGGCTTGGTGGTGCACGCCTGTAATACCAGGTGTTGGTCGGCTGTAAACAGATGGATCACTACGAGTCCGATCTAGTAGTGAGACCTGAACACCCTGTAGACTCTTCCCTAAAATACAAAAAAGAAAAAAAGGCTTTTGCATAGCAAAGGAAACAACCAACAGATTAAAGAGACAATTTACAGAATGAGGAAAATAATTTTGCCAGCTATTGCTCAGACAGAGGACTAACATCTAGAATATACTATATAAAAAACTCAAAATAATTAGACACTCCCCCATGAATAGACACTTCTCAGCAGAAGAACAAATAGCCAAAAATTGCATGAAGAAATGTTCAACAGCCATTAAACAAATGCAAATTAAAACAACCCTGAAATTCCATCTTACTCCAGAAAGAATGACTATCATCAAGCAATAAAAAATAACAAACAGTGGCAAAGCCTCCAAGAAAAAGGAGCACTTCTACATTCTCAGTGGGAATGTAAACTTGTACAGCAAATATGGAAATCAGTATGGAGATTCTTCAAAAAAATTAAACTAGAAATTCCATTTGATGCAGCTATTTTTCTTCTAGGTTTCTTCCCAAAAGGAATAAAGTCATCTTATTACAATGATACATGCATACCAATGTGGATAGCTAAACCTTGGAACTAGAATTTGACACTAAGCAATCCACTGGGCTCAAGGATAACTTCCCACTGACACAGACATGAAAACCTGTCTCACAGTAGTTCTATTTCTGATGACAATGTACCAAGCTATAGTCCAGCATGTGTCAGTAGCTATAACCCCATGCTCATGTGTGCCTGACTCTGAGAGAGGAAGATTTAGAGTGAACAATCAAATGATGCTTCTGAGTGTACTAGCCAGATATAGCCACTAAACACTTCTCATTCACTGGGTGTTGTCACTCTTTGAAATTCTCTTTAGGAAAACAAGACCATATTCTGAATGAATCTCATATAGGAGTTTCCTAGGTATGGCAAGAAAACTTCATTCACTTCCAGATAATAAAGAAATACACAGAAAATACTAAAAATAATTAATAAATAAAAACCTGAATTAGTAGGAATGATTCCTTTTGTCAAATGGGAATTGGTACTAAATTGATATTATAAGAAAAATTTAGTTGTCTTAAAAAAAACAATGGAAATGATCCCAAACGAAATAGCAAGAATAATTTTTTTAAAAATGGGATATAGCTCAATCATGCAGCATTTGCCTAACATGTACATAGTCCTGGGCTCAACATCCAGAACTGCTAAATAAATAAAATGCACAGAAAATCTGTGAGCTGTGAGACAACTTCAAGTAGCCCAAACATATAGACAACTCTAGCTCCTAATGTAAAGGAAGAAGAGTACAGAAAAAATATTTAAAGAATTAATGGCCATATGTTTTCTAAATTCAAGAAAACTTAAATCCAAGATACAAAACCTCAGTAAGGGCTGGAGAGATAGCTCAGCAGTCTAGGCACCAGCCTGGCAAGTGTAAGGACCAACATTAGATCCCCAGTACTGCATGCCACGCAGGCCCCAAACCCCAGGCATACCATGCCAGCCACTGAAACCAGACATGGTGGTGCACACCTGTAATCCTAGCACTGGAAAGGCTGAGACAGGAGGATCACTATGAGTCCAAGCTGTGGAGCAAGACCCTGTACCAAATAAATGAATAAAAGATTTTAAAAAGACTTTAAAAAAAAAAAAAAAGAACCTCAGTAATTCCTAAACTCAAAAGAAAGAGAAAGCACGAAGGAGGGAGAAAGGAATAAAAGGGATGGAGGCAAAAAAAAAAAAAAAAGGGAGAGAAGAAGAAGGGAAAAAGAAGGGAAGGGAGGAAGGGTGAGATACAAGGTAAGGAAGAAGCATAATTTCATTGTTTGAATTACGTATTTTTTTAAAAACTCTGAAAATTAGACTCAAAAATAGACATTAGGAACTAAGAAGCATAATATATATATATATATATATATATGCCTATTAAAGAAGTACATTTTAATTTTTCTTTTTATAATCACTTCAGTTAAAAGTGGTCTCATTTACACAACTGGAATTCTACTGCTACCATTCCATCCCTAATCTGATATAGCTACGACCAAGCATATGTTTGCATTGCTCAGTAACAGCCAATTACCTTCCTAGGTTATTGCAATAAACAATTATGAAGAGAAATGAGGCATGGCATATACATTTTGTTTCTAATTATCTTCCCAAGAATACTTCTTAACAAACATTTGGGATTAGACACATTACTGAATTTTTATATATTAAAAAAGGCCTTACAACAAGTCTTTTTCCAGAACCAAGTTTCTGCTGCTCAGTCTCCTCCCTTTTATCTGCATCTGTTGCAAAAGCAAGTACTTGGTACCTATATGAAAGAGAATGAAAACATATGAGTTGACTTTATAATTTTCTTTTTTTTCCATAATTTTATTGATAGACAAATAGCAATGAGACAGTTTCAAACCAAATTGGCAAGACAGTTTCAATAATTAACACATTGTATATATTCTTCCTACTGGTTATTTGCTGTACAAGATGCAGACATGATATCCTATTTACAAACTCTATTAGAACAAATCCCTCTATTCATTAAGAGAATA